GTAAAAACTGAATCGCATTTCTTGCAGAAGAAGTGTGCCTCAGGATCCACGGCGTGCTGTTTTCCCGTAAACGATGAGATACTTTATGACTAGCTTTTCCCGGTTGCACTTACCCTTTGCAACGCCGCGGCGTCTATGAACCCGGTTTTGCACAGAGTGCATTTGGGGTGTGCTGGAGACGCGTTGAAATGGGCCTGCAAATCCGACTGATAGACTAGAACGCCATGGCAGGTGCCGCAAGCGACCTGAGGATGCTGGTCCCGATGATGCTGTTAACGCCACAGCATTAGCTCGGAGACAGAGAGGAGAAATACAGGAAACCTCACCTCATCTCGGGCCTGAATATCGATGAATCCGTGACCGCACTTGACGCAGTTCGGATGGGCTTTCGAGCCACGGTAATGGTCTTCGAGCGCGAACTGCTCTCGAAACGTACGATCGCACTGGACGCACGGGTAGCTCTGAGGGTGGCGAGCAGCATCGTGCTGTATTCATAGAGAGGAATTAGCTGCTATGTATGGTGTGAAGATTAATGCGGACTTACCTCCTCTTTCGCCTGCTCACTAATGAACCTGCGATGAGGAAAGCAGATAGTGCAAGAGGGGTGGTCCGCGCCAGAGGTATTCAAGTGCTGGTGAAGCGCCTCCTTGTTGCGGAATTTGCGACTGTTGCAAACGATGCAGGTGGGCATGATCGACATAAGCTGGCTGAAAAATTAACGAGGATGTGCGCGCCCTTTATATGCGAAAAGTGCAGCTCGAACCGAAGGCCTACTTGATCGATTCTCCCATTGAAATTGGCACATGGTGAAGTCGGGTAAAGTTAGGCACGTCATTTTGTAGCCCTGAACGACAATTCAACGGGCTCTATCTTGATACTAATTCAATTTATTTGAATAGGCCGGCAAAGAGATAGATGTATAGTCTCAACCTACTGGCAAAATTTAACGATCGCAGAACCATACTACCAACTGGCACATATTTTTGAAAAGGCGCCTCAGAGATAGTAGTTCGCTTAGAAATCGTGGTTAGGGAAAGGTCTCTGGGATTTCCTATTAAGGTATTCTCAAGAAAAGCATAATCTTTGTGATCGAACAGTCCATCGCGGGAAGCCCCCGCCATCCCTTAATTTAAAATCCACCAGTAGAATGAGAGTCTATACACCGAAGGACATACCTCTCTGAATTGAACCGTTTAACAAGAATCAAGAACTCCGAGTCGAGGGTCCGACATCTAGATAAAAATAGATTTGGCAATTTTGGGACCAGCGATGATCCCACCAGGGTAGATGTCGAAGGTGCATCCATCATACATGCATAAAGCTACCATACTTCCCGTATCTATTATAAGGTCAGTATAGATGAATCACGCTAGAATTTTATTGCGCTAGTCTTTAAGCCATGTATCCCGTTTGAACTCGACGTATCATGGCAGTCATGGAAGACTAGCACGGAGGTGGTAAATTTAGCTCGTATCTTAATGCGCTAGCGCTGTTGAAGAACGTCAGAGAAACAGGGAGCTGTCCGTATCGAGCTGTCCGTATCGCAAGAAAATCAAAAAATGACCGTTGTCGATTTCCCGCCGAGACGGGACGGAGTAAAAAATCTCGCAAGTAATAATGAGGCAGGACATGCAGAAAAAAGTGACATAAGACACCGGTAAAAATGGAGAGGCTCATTTGGTGAAGGAAACTACCGGATTGTTTGACACAACAAGAGACTCCAAGAAGGCCGCTCCACTTCCAACCAGCCCAGTAGAAATAACGGCGATTACGACGGGCGCCGAAGAACCACCAAAGACATTTGGAAGCGTTAGGTGTTATCTCAAGTTCAAACATTTACGCGTAAACATTCGCCACGCCTTCCAGATTGTACGATGCTCCGTCACGACAAACCTGGAAACGGCAACCTGGAACTGGGAAGCCGAGGGTGCGTCGAAAATGTTATGAGAAGGTGTCGTCCTACTATGGGAATTAGTCGGCTGGCGATAGTGGAAGTAGATTTCTCCCCTCACCCAGCAAGACGGCTCTGAATTTTTTGCAGTGAGTTGGGATATAAAAAAGCCTTTTTAAAAACGTAAAGGCCTACTCTGTTGGCTAGATCAGATCAGAGGCGAGAGGGATCGTGCCCATACCGGAATTATTCTCTTAATGGAAGCGGGGCCCATAGCGAGCAGTGCGGGGAAATTCCTGCAGTCAAGAAAATAACAAGAAGTAAAGGGACTGATTTTATCTATGCTCTTGAAATACAATCGGAGCTCGGCCTCCAATAATGCTGGGCTAGTCCTGACTATCCACTGAGGATGGACCGCTGTCGTGTTGCAGCGCTAGCCTTTTCTAGAGGCGTGCGATTCAAACGGAATAAAATCTCTCCGAGACCTAGAAATCGGGCCACCTACAAAAATGTTTGGTATAAACGAACGATAAATCCCCAGCAGTATACTCTAGAGGTCGTACGCCGTAATGTGAGAATCCGGGGCCATGAGGGAGCGTTTTGAACGGATTTTTCACCGATCTGATAAAATTCAATGGAGTGGATCGCCTCTCCGCGCAGTCGTCGTGTTAGGCGGGCGACGTCGTGGCCCGTCGTGGCGCTCTGGAAGTCTCGCTTGCGGCGGCTTCTGATCTTGGCCTCGCGGAATTTCCCGAGGTCTTCTTTCAAACCCCGCGACACATGGAGAGCACTCTGGAGGGCTGTGGTGCACGTTCGTAAAACTTTCCTTCCTTTCACATTCCATGGTATCCGGGACGACGTCGGTTTGGAATTTTTGGAACACTAGACTACATGGTCAAGAAAGGCTCCCGAGCCCTAGCCTAATCGTAGGCAAAGTCAGTATCAGGTAGGTATTGCAGTTGAGAATATATCCATGTGAGTGAACAATGAATATGAAAGCGAAGATATGTAAGTATGAGTGTCCATTCCAAAGATATCTGTCAGGAGTTGGTATCGTCACATTAGAGCGTTAAGGTGGATGAGAACAGAGACAATGAGCTGAGGTACGTGAGTGTGCAAGTACAAGAAATCAAGAAGTAGAGCACTCGCAAATTCAAGAAAAACGTACAACAACCAGCCCGGGGTTCCAGCCTCCCAAGGCCAGACAGATAATAGGTAGTATGACCCGAAATTGATTGTAATCCAATCATGGCTGCGCGACCGGCATATCAGGGATTAAATAATGCATTTGCTTGCCCTCCAAACCTGGGCCAAAGCTGCTCTTGTGGGCTAACACAGCTTCGTGCATAGCCAGCTCATCTGTGCTGACGTTAGCCGAGCTGGTGTCACCCTTGTCCTTCTTGGACTTTGACTTCGAGCGACCCTTGTCCTTGCTTGGGGCAACCTTCAAACTCTCGCGCTCCTTCCGTGTCGCGTAATGGCCCATCGAATGCGTCGGTGAGGACGCTATGTCGAATGGGATAGGTGCCGGCGCGGAGCCCGGCTCGGGCGATGCGGGAGAGGACGTGGGAGAAGAAGGGGAGCCGCTATACCTGGGTACAGGCTTTCGCGGGGTCTTGCGCTGCGCTTGTGATTGTGGAGGCTGTGTGCTGCTGGTAGACGGGGAGCGTGTGACACCGAGCGGAGAGACGGTCGGCGGGGTACCGAATGGTGAAGGCTGCTGCGAGGCAGTAGAATCAATCGAGGGCCGTCGCGTTTTCTTGTTCACAGACGCGCGGCGCTGCGTTGTTGCAGGACCCGTGCCAAGCTCTGACGCAAACGTCGAGGCGGAATATGAGCGCCGGCTGGGATTCAGATTGGCGCTCGCGCTAAGAGTGCCGTGGCCACTGGATGCAAGATTGGCCATATACATTTCCTCCGATGGATCGGCCGAGTCCCCGGAGTTATTATTGTTATGTGCGGCCGAGACAGAGCGCGATGCATTGCCGGAGAGGTATGAATCAATGTCATCCTGGCTGACACCTGGATAGGCACCCGCGGACTCCTTCTGGGATTGACGGCGCACTGCAGACAAGTATGGCTTTTTGGATTTTTGTGGCGGGGCTGTGAAGGCTGTGTGCGAGTCGACCGAAGAGAGGCCACCCCAGCGACCTCCTTCACCCCCACTCGCCTTGCCACTACCGATGAATCCGAAGGCACCTTTGGCCAAGGAGGGCGCGATTGGAGAAGACAGGTTCCGGGAGTGCGACCGGGATCGAGAATGCCGGCGTCGACAGATGCAGAAGGCGCTAAGAGTAATCAGCAGGGCAAGAACACCTGCCACTACGCCTCCTACAATTGCGCCCTTGTTGATGGTTGATTCCGAAGAACCGCCGATCGGGATGACCGTTGGGGAGGAGCTAGACGACGTGTCACTGCTCGATGTAGCGTCCTCGGATGATGTAGATGGTGTAGAGGGAGTAGATGAAGAGCCGGGGCTGGAGCTGGAAGGTGATGAGGGAATATTCAAACAGGATGTGTCGGTTCCTTGTTGAACAAAGAATGGCGAAGAGTTCGTCGAGTAAGGCTCTTGTACATTTTGAAGGCTTGCAGTAAGCAAATAGAAGCCCTGAGGCACTGATACTGAGGTCCAGTTGAAAGAACTACTGGATGGAGAGAGCGATGAAGCAATCTGAATGGTTATGTCGTCACGGCGATAAAGAGGTTCACGGGGAGCGAATCTGTTCGTAAAGGTATTCGGAGGACGCGTACTTGTTGAGCCATCCTGGGATACCCCGATGTTCGTAATAGAGAGGGAGAGAGGCTCGTCAGGACCCGAATAGTTCCAGGAGATGAGGGTCGCTGCACAGGACGTCGGCTGGTTGGGACTGTTGAAGACGAGGAGCGGGGAAGGGTCTGCCTGCCGTGCAGAAAGGGTTGGACTGGGAATTTGGGCCACGACTAGTCCTGCCAAGGCGAGGACAATCACCCACGGCATCCTTGAGGTCATCGTCAAGAACAACCAACTCGTCCTTGACAATGACAATGACTTAGCACCGCGCAGTAATCTCCCCACGCCTGCCACAGTGCCACTTGACATCATGACATGACATCACTGCACTCATACAACGGTCCAATGGTCTAGTGGTTATGATTTCTGTCTTACAAGTTAAGGGACACAGAAGGTCTCCAGTTCGATCCTGGATTGGACCAAGTTTTTTCACACCAGAATTTTCAAGCGTAGTTGGCACTGGAATATTTTCTGCCGATTTTTCCTCAATGACATCAACCCTCCAGAACATCAAATTCCGGCCTTTTGCTCCCGTGCGTATTTTTGTAAGACTTCCCAATCAACGTCCGTATCCATAGCTTGGTGGGTATTTTTCGGAATTCCGACATCATCGCGAACAGTGAAATCATCGTTTATATTTTACGCGACTCCGCGGAAATGAAAAAGGGATCTCGAAGGTTGTTCATTGGCCTAGACAATTATATTGTCACTGTGTGGGTCTCAAGGGTGGCGTGCAAGTTCTAGTCGATGCCCAACCCAATTTACAGGCGGCCAAGACTCAGGAGGAAGTCTGGGTTGATCCAGGCCGAATGAATAGACTTCATATTTATTATGGACATGGGAGCCGCGGTGTTGCTAAGATGAGAACGTTCAGTAATTCATTTCTGGGATGTTGAGTGGAAATTTCTATCGTGTAAATAGGTTGGTTGCGGTGAGGTCCATTATTATATGACCCCTTGAGCTGAGCCTTGAAAATATCTGGACTAGGACCCCGATCACGTTAAGTACATCGCGGTTCCTGGTCTCTTCCACAAGTTCCTCAGGCGCATCTCCGCACGTGGTAAGTGAGCGCGTGTGCACACGCACAGAGGAGTCAGGAATCAGGATCGAGGTTTCATGGAAGTTTCAGTTCAGTTCCCGAGCATTAACCACCAGCAAGATGCGCAAAATCCCGTCGCGTAGGAAAATATAGGCACATGCGCAGCAATAGATAAAAATCGCAGTTGGCACGATATCATTTCCATCGACAATAAGAGCCAGCGTGCGACGTCGGCCTCGTTCACGGACCAGTCTCGGAGGCTCCCCCGAAGAAACGACGTGCCAGTTACATAGTAGGCAATCCACGATAGGCAATAATTCACGTTACGGCGTCCGGAGGTACTAGTACCACGTCAGATTTTAGTGTATGGGGGCTGAAGCGTTGACAGGGTATAATGACTGCGAATGGGGTACGCGTACAGTATCGGTGAATCAGATCATCCATATCGACTTTGTGGGGCTGTCGAGGTTGAGTTTTTGTTTGGCTGGTAAAATAAGATGGCGTCACGTTGAGGTGCTATAGCTCACCGGTACCCATAGCCTGGAGACTCAGAGTTACAGCCGGAGGTTCTTGGATCTTACGCGTTGAAACGTTGAATGTGTGGAGTCCGAGAGTTAGTCTTCCATCATCCATGATTGATGGTCGGAGCTGGAAATAGCCGACTAAGTTCCATCCGTGCCACATTTTGGCTTTCCTCGAGAGCGCTACGCCTCTCCGAAAACCCATGCTATCCTCCTGCGAGCACTTTATTCAAATCTATTAAATTTCAAGGCCGCATGTCCTCATAAAACGCTCTGTTCCCTCTCTTTGCTGTGTTCTGGTCGCTACTCTATTTCTGCGGCTGAGATTGACGACGAAGCACAGTCAAACTGTGATGCTTTCAGAGTCTTTATTTTATTTTATTCTTCGAAGAAAAACTAATGTCGCCCCGTTCAGATGGATCAAACCGTTGACAACTCTCAGCGTCATAGTTGTGCATTAGAAACCGGTCCATCACTGCGCCTCGTGCCGGCAGTACTTACCTGCACTGGGGACGATGAAAAGATGCGGCTCGTTGAATCTGGCCCGCGTGTACGCACGATATCAATCGATAATACGCTTCACTCTCAATCATCCATAATCTCCACTGTTACCGGCCATCGATTCTATCACCTTCCCGGAAAGTTACACAAATATTTTGGTGCGATCCCTTGAATGGGTACCGAGCTGCGATACGGCTAGCAATTAGGAACGTCATGATTTTCCGCTCTCTTTTGTCATTGGCCAGACTCACTGGCACCACAATCACCTCGCGACAATCTAGCGTCATCGTGGCACCATTCCTCCGCTCAATCAACGCCCGATTCAGCGCCCCATTATCCCATGCACAGCCTAGCTTACAGATAGGCAATGCCTGGGAAGATGGAGACTTCTTCTGAAGCTTGTTTCTATTTCTATTCAGTATCTCGACTCTTTTGCAGGGCACGTTGGCATGTGCTACGGCAAAATACCTCAGATGATAGGTGTGCCTAGCCTGGCAGTGGCGGTCTAATATCCGCTGGCTGCGAGGACTCAGAATGCTATCTGGTATCTATGGCCTACTACTATGCCCGCTTTGTATATCCCTTGATCGCTTCTACACTCCGATTCCCTATCCTAGCATAAGCTACTCGTCCAGCAGCATTATCAGTGTCCATTTGGCTCTCCCATGTCATTTAGCAATTAACTTCATCTCTAACTTACACAAAACCCCCCAGCCCGGGGCCCCATAGCTTATTGAAGTTTGCGGCAAGATCAGTGGAGACCCGGAGCTCCTTGTGCCTGCGTTTAAGGGAGGTTTAGTGCCGGACAGAACACCCTTGTTGTGTATCGACTGATATCAAGTCTCCTGGCGGCCCGGAATCCCTCAAGCCTACAGCTTCATCTCGCTTCAATCGTATTATTTATTTTTTTCGTCTGAACCCCCTTCTCTTGAATTTGGAATCGACTATCAATGAATGTGCGCCGCTGTGTGGTTTGCCTCTTACTGGATTCAAATAATTTGACCTGCGCCCCAAATTGGTACTTGGTCAACCAGGGCAACGCCCATTCCAATCGAGCCTCGTACGCCTTGAATATCCTGAGAAGGGGGAAGATCATCACACAGTCATTTTGACCCGTACCAGAACCAGGTAGGAAATTATTATTTTCTTGAATTGATACGGTCACACAAATGAGGGGCGATGAGTGCCAGAGTAAGATTCAATTTAACCGTATCATAATCTACGCAGACCTGAAGCCTTGCGAAAATTGATCTACCCTGATTTATCTTTATGGAGGCCCCAGAATTCATGTCCGCCCGCCACCACAGGGTATCAGCACGGTCGACTCTGACGCTCGGCGACAAGACAAGGACCGGGTTGTAAACCGTGCAGCAAATAAAAATTAACCATGTCATATTCATCTAGAACACTCAAAGAAAAAAACAAAATCTGATAACAGTGAATTTGGGAATAAACGACCGGGGCTATGGCTGGAATATCCCAGAGAATCAGGCCCTGGCGCTATCAAAACCAGTCTCGTGCGAGATTCTCTTGACGTCCTGATGACCCGAAAGTCAAGGTCTTGAGACGGTCCCATGGGTATAGTTATTCTAGCACGGTATAAACAGTGCGTTGGCAGACGAGAAGATGCGTCAACAACATCTTTCACAAAGTGCAGTAGGATAGAAAGCCCATGTGTTGGCCGGCGACGTCCCGGTCTACTGTCTGTGCTATAAGAATGCAACCAAGTGGGGGTATTCATGACCAGCCGCTATCGGAGCTTCTTCTTCGCAGGGGAAGGGGGAGCCAAGCTTTGTGCACTTTTCTACCAGATTGGCTGCTTGAAAGGCCGACTTTCCTGATTTTGGCAAGTCTGGAACGGTGCCAGTCGTCAGATATAGCCGCGAGGAGAGGGAAGTGATGTACTTTCTAAGACCCATCCAAGCCACAAACAGTGCCAACGTCGCAGACATTGTGGACATGGTGTAGAAGGCGTATGGGTGGTGCTCCATATGGCTTGTCAACTGTATAAGGAGTAGATATGTTTAGGAGGGTCGACGGAGAGAGCATATAAACTCACGTTCATACCGAAAAGCCCAGCAATTAGAGCTCCTGTGCCCACGCCTAGCGTTGCGATAGACACCTACACCTCATCAATCAGGTGGCACTGACTCATTCACGCTATCATGTGCCGTACCTGCAGGTCGAGGGCCAGTAATGCATTACGATTAGAATCTAGGATTAATTCCACAATTTCTTGTGTGGATTGTACATTGCTCTGTCCGATTATCAGCGTGCTAGATTATATATCAAAGACGTTACCTACTTGTATATTCTCGGCTTCATTCACAATTTCCTCCACCTGCTTCGCAAACGACTCTAATAAGACTTCCAAGTCTTCGTGATCCTGGAATTCCCGGAGGATATTGCTTTTCTTGTCGGTGAGATACATAGCATTCAAATCATCGTCTGGCTCAAGACAGATCAGAAACGCGCATAAATGCTAGATTATTTATACCTTGAGCCAAGACCTCCTCTAACGCCTCCTCGACCTATTGTGCATCGTGAATGAACGTTGTTGCAGTAAGTGGAGGGAGCCTACTAGCTTAGCTCTGTTCTGGAAGCTAGTCAAGCGCCTGGAGTAGTGGAGTAACCGTTTGAATCGGTCATGATCAATATTATCCTCCAATTCTGCTAAGAGTCCTCCGACAAGATTGCGAATAAAGACCATTTCCGCTTCCAACGCGCTTAGAACAGATAGAAGGATTGATTCGAGAGCCCTGTGGAATATTATTATTAGATATGTGAAGATCTCAAGGATGATATCAAAATACCTGAATTCGTAAGGTGATCCAGAGCCTTTGAGTTTGAGGTTATGCTGTTCAATTCCCATGTCAAAATGACCCCGCAACAAGATCCGGGCGTTGCTTACTTCCAAATGGTAGAGAAACACAGAGTGAAGTCTGGAATCGGCGGAACCATATGTGTCGAAGAGAATGACAGCATCTGCTTTCACAAGGGCTCGAATATGAAGGATGTTGACCTGAAGAAAAACGTTACTGCCAAGAAATGAAAAATACCATCTCATACACACCAAGATAGCTTCCTTCCTTACGAGAATGGTAGGAACGAGGTTCGGAACACGAGAATCGACTTTGCGTAGGTCTCGAGCCTTGAAGTGCAAAGTGAATTGTAATAAGAACAAGTCAAGATGTCAACAGTCTCATGCTCACGTTCAAACCATGCTCCGCACTCAGATCGGACTTTCTGAAATGACCGGAGATAGTCTTCACGTTACCTGGGGAAAGAAGGTTATGTTATGAACGCCTGCGGGGAGGCTAACTAACCTTCAGCATCGAGAATCGTACCTAAAAAAGCGTCT